TGTCTTCTATGACCATAGTAGGGACTGTGTCAGGATGTTATGCTAGGATGGGTGTCTTCTATGACCATAGTAGGGACTGTGTCAGGATGTTATGCTAGGATGGGTGTCTTCTATAACCATAGTAGGGACTGTGTCAGGATGTTATGGTAGGATGGGTGTCTTCTATGACCATAGTAGGGACTGTGTCAGGATGTTATGCTAGGATGGGTGTCTTCTATGACCATAGTAGGGACTGCGTTAGGATGTTATGCTAGGATGGGTGTCTTATATATCTTAATGCTTCGGTCTGTCGGTCTGTGTGAGATTGTTTATACTAAGATTTCCATCTTCCATGTCATATAAGAGTGTGTCGGGTTGCTATGGTGATACAGGTTATGTTACAAAGTGGTGTCTTACATCTCCAATCCATACTCTGAAATCACTGTACCATAAGGCTGGTACATTAAGAGTATGGTACTATATGGTGCTGTTCGCGTATGGTTTTGCTCAGTGTTCAAAGTGCTGCATGGTACCATTTTAGTCTACGGTACCTACGGTTTGATTAGACTTCATTCTCTTGTGTCATATACTAGGAACTTTGTCAGTTTGTTTGGTGAGACTTCATTCTCTTGTGTCATATACTAGGGCCTTTGTCAGGTTGTTTGGTGACACTTCATTCTCTTGTGTCATATACTAGGGCCTTTGTCAGGTTGTTTGGTGAGACTTCATTATCTTGTGTCATATACTAGAGCCTTTGTCAGGTTGTTTGGTGAGACTTCATTCTCTTGTGTCATATACTAGGGCCTATGTCAGGTTGTTTGGTGAGACTTCATTCTCTTGTGTCATATACTAGGGCCTTTGTCAGGTTGTTTGGTGAGACTTCATTCTCTTGTGTCATATACTAGGGCCTATGTCAGGTTGTTTGGTGAGACTTCATTCTCTTGTGTCATATACTAGGGCCTTTGTCAGGTTGTTTGGTGAGACTTCATTCTCTTGTGTCATATACTAGGACCTTTGTCAGGTTGTTTGGTGAGACTTCATTCTCTTGTGTCATATACTAAAGCCTTTGTCAGGTTGTTTGGTGAGACTTCATTCTCTTGTGTCATATACTAGGGCCTATGTCGGGTTGTTTGATTAGACTTCATTCTCTTGTGTCATATTCTAGGACCTTTGTCAGGTTGTTTGGTGAGACTTCATTCTCTTGTGTCATATACTAGGGCATTTGTCAGGTTGTTTGGTGAGACTTCATTCTCTTGTGTCATATACTAGGACCTATGTCAGGTTGTTTGGTAAGACTTCATTCTCTTGTGTCATATACTAGGGCCTTTGTCAGGTTGTTTGGTGAGACTTCATTCTCTTGTGTCATATACTAGGACCTATGTCAGGTTGTTTGGTAAGACTTCATTCTCTTGTGTCATATACTAGAGCCTTTCGTCAGGTTGTTTGGTGAGACTTCATTCTCTTGTGTCATATACTAGGGCCTATGTCAGGTTGTTTGGTAAGACTTCATTCTCTTGTGTCATATACTAGAGCCTTTCGTCAGGTTGTTTGGTGAGACTTCATTCTCTTGTGTCATATACTAGGGCCTTTGTCAGGTTGTTTGGTGAGACTTCATTCTCTTGTGTCATATACTAGGACCTATGTCAGGTTGTTTGGTAAGACTTCATTCTCTTGTGTCATATACTAGAGCCTTTCGTCAGGTTGTTTGGTGAGACTTCATTCTCTTGTGTCATATACTAGGGCCTATGTCAGGTTGTTTGGTAAGACTTCATTCTCTTGTGTCATATACTAGAGCCTTTCGTCAGGTTGTTTGGTGAGACTTCATTCTCTTGTGTCATATACTAGGACCTATGTCAGGTTGTTTGGTAAGACTTCATTCTCTTGTGTCATATACTAGGGCCTTTGTCAGGTTGTTTGGTGAGACTTCATTCTCTTGTGTCATATTCTAGGACCTTTGTCAGGTTATTTGGTGAGACTTCATTCTCTTGTGTTTAATAGAGCCTTTCGTCAGGTTGTTTGGTGAGACTTCAGTCTCTTGTGTCATATACTAGAGCCTATGTCAGGTTGTTTGGTGAGACTTCAGTCTCTTGTGTCATATACTAGGGCCTATGTCAGGTTGTTTGCTGGGACTTCATTCTCTTGTGTCATATACTAGAGCCTTTCGTCAGGTTGTTTGGTGAGACTTCATTCTCTTGTGTCATATACTAGAGCCTTTCGTCAGGTTGTTTGGTGAGACTTCATTCTCTTGTGTCATATACTAGGGCCTATGTCAGGTTGTTTGGTAAGACTTCATTCTCTTGTGTCATATACTAGAGCCTTTCGTCAGGTTGTTTGGTGAGACTTCATTCTCTTGTGTCATATACTAGGGGCTTCGTCAGGTTGTTTGGTGAGACTTCATTCTCTTGTGTCATATACTAGGGCATTTGTCAGGTTGTTTGGTGAGACTTCATTCTCTTGTGTCATATACTAGGGCATTTGTCAGGTTGTTTGGTGAGACTTCATTCTCTTGTGTCATATACTAGGACCTATGTCAGTGTGTTTGGTGAGACCTCAAAGTGGTGTCTTCTTTGTCATATACCAGAGACTGTGTATGATGAGACTTTAAAATGGTTCTTTTTCTTTGGACTTGTTGTCAGGTTGTTATGGGGGTTTACAGAGCATTGTCTTTTTGAGGCTATGTCTTAATTACAGGCTGAGCCAGAAAAGGCAACCCAAACAAATATATGTTCATAACTCAGTCATTCGTCATCATGTCTAAAATCATATTTGGCACAATCAAACCTTGGTCAATGTTCCTTCATTAACAAGTTTCATTGGTCTATTCCCAATGGTCACAATTTCATGGCCATTTACAAATGATTTTACATTTTACATGCTAAATGTCTCGCTTATGTTGTTAAAATTAGCGATACAGAGCGTTAAAGTAATTTTGACCACCTCACTGATCCACCTGTGTTATTTCAATAAGAGGTTCATTAAAAAATTATTGAATTTGAAACCATTAACTTTTGTAAAGCCTGGACAATTAAATCATATTTTTGTCGAGTGGGCAATTTAGCAAATTTAATTATCTCTTACAATTTCAATTTTGAGAGCAATCGGATGGATCGATCGTTCCTCATATGACTTATGGCAACCCAACCATTCCCCATTTGTTTAACATGGGATCTGCCATTTTTGTTAGATTTCATGAAATTCATCAATTTTGACGTCAAATTTGGACCCAATGTAATGGAGATATAACATTTAAACGTTGCGGACTTTATCGTGAATAGAATCAAGATACAGATTTATTTTCTTTATTGGGATTTCTTTTGTTCCCCGCTTAGAAAACAGTCGTTAAACAAATATGGGGGTTAACGTCATGTAAACCTACGAGGTCCTTAACTTTTTTTGAGAAGTATATAAATATAAATGTTTACATATTTGAAAAGTGTCAATTATTCGCGAATGCAACTAACGGCTAGCGGCTACAGGACTAACTTACTATTTAAAACCAACTCATTTTATGACTGGAATAGTGGCACGTACTATTCATACCTAAATGAGTTGCCCATAAAATAGGTTTATCCAGTAGCCGACAGGCATGACAGGCATTAGTTGCATTCGCAGATACAAACTTAGGCTCATATTTTTTGTACTTCTTCAAGTCTTGGCTGTCATTTTTATTTATTTACATGGTAGGCCACTTCTTGTTTTTCTGTACAATTAAATACCTTGTGTTCTCAGACTAGAAGTTCTACATGTATATGGTGGAATGTCCTTAACAGGTGATAGAAGTGGTGACAAATGTTCATTATCTCAAGGTTATCATAACATTGTTATTATCAGTATTCCATCATTAGTATATGCCTAGGGAAACCAAAGAAAACTATCTTACTCAAAATGACCTTCCATTTATTTAATGTGGCTACATGGATGTTTTGGACTCATATGTTTCATTGTACTGTTATATCAAAGAAACTACCCTACTCTGTAATGCAGGGGATATCATTTGAGATACATCCTTTCAAAATTTATTTTATGTAGGATTAATTGTCTGATTCTAACTTGCTTCAGCTAGATTTTGGCCTATCACTTCATATAAGGTGTATACTCCAAAATATCATTTTTCTACAATAACCATACACAAAGGCTCCGGGGGAAGGGGGGGGGAATAAATCATGATCAAATATTGTCAGAATATCAGTAATTACTAAGCATCGAAGCATGTAAGCATATGAAAACTTTCAGCTTACTGATTGACAAAGTATGGTGACAGCATTCGCACCTAAACATTAAATATTTTGGAAAGGGGTATACATAGAGTAAAAATTTGATTGAATTAAACATTTTATCTTTCACTACATGTATTTATTATTGAATATTTGACTGGAGGCAATTAATGGAAATATGTAATCATTTTATCAACTCTACACTCTTTGTCATACCATTTTGAACATTTCAATTATTCATTTTGGGCCTCTAAAATCAAAAATTGGGCCAAAATTTTGAAAATTTAAGGCCTATTTTCTTGACAATTTGGCCTGTAATTAAAAAAATAAGGCTCTAAAGGCCCAGAAATATCCAAAAGACCCAGAAATACCCTTAAAACCCACTACTTGGGGCCTTGAAAAAATTCTGGGCCCATTCTTGGCGGTGGGGCAAGCTCCTGGGCTGATTGTTGGTGTTGTTAAGAAGCATCTACATTGTTCCTCTCTGAACAAATACGTGAATATGGTTTATGTGCAGGGAAAGGACAACACTGCTTATAAGCACATGTTTAGCAAAATAAAAAGTAGTTGTTTTTTTATGTTTTAATGATAAAATGATTTAGTTTTGCAATATTTCGATTAGATTATTGCGCCCTTTTGTTAAACCCTTTTGTCATTTAGCGGAATATATATTTCATTTCCATAAATCTTAAGCTATGTATGAGTAAAACAGCTGCAGGATGTAAAAAGCCTGAGTTTGAGAGTTTCCAAAATATGTGCACAATATTTTTACAAACACCAAATTAACTTATTCTTATGTGTTTACAGGAAACTCAGACATCGTCAATGGCAACCGAAAGCTGGTCATGGGCCTTATATGGCATCTAATCCTGCGATACCAAATTGGAAAAACAACACAACTAAAAATACCTCCAAAGAAGCTGATGTTGGCATGGTTGAATGCTGCCATTCCAGATATCAAAATAACGAACTTTACCTCAAATTGGAATGATGGCATAGCTTTACAGTAAGTTAGCATACCCATATGAGTTATAAGTGACACTATCTTAGGATGAAGATACAGTAAAACTTGTCTAATCCGAACACCCATGTAATGTAATGGGACCAGCCACAGGTGTTCAAATTGGCAGGTGTTCAATTTTCAAGGTTTTTGTTGGTTGGGAGGGGGGGGGGAGAATTTTCATTGTTTAGTCCACTATATTGCACACTTAATACTAAGTCAGAAAACAATACATGTTGTTGATGAGTTTATTCTACAATAGGCCTAGCCTATATGCTATGTTTTATTTACATTTTGAAAAATTTCATTATTTTATATAAAATCTTATGCTAATCAAATGACTTGTCCCATATTAGAGTTGTTGCAAATTCACCGATTTCGACAACCGAGTCCCGACACCGACTTGGTTACTGTAAATTGATACAGTAATTCTATGTTTTTCAAATTTAATTTTTCGAAAGAACCTTCATTTTGAAAACTGTCAATTCTATTGGGGTAACACAATGCCCAAGCTATATAGTATTACAAACAATGTGATTGAAACATCCAGGTAATTTACAATAAGGATAAAACAATTATCTCCTGGATTCACCCCTTCTCTTAATCCAAGTCAAAAACATCCAGGTAATTTACAATAAGGATAAAACATTTTGAGTACCTTGGTTTAAATTTTATCGCATATAATCAAAGTTTGAACACCTCAAATTTTTCGATCTACATTCGGTATTTTACTGTGTCGGCATTTCACAAAAAACGATTTTTAAAATTACCAACAAAATGCGTGATTTGTGTGATATTTGATCAAACACGCTAAATTGATGCGTGATTTCTATTTTTCCAGCAAATTGTGACAATCACGCCTAATGCGTGAGGGTTGACAGGGCAGTATACATGTTCTACTGTATACCACTTTATCAAAATTGAAAACTTCAAGAAAGTTGGCTGAGTGTTGAATTTTCAAACTATGAATTTGTGAGTTCTAGAAACCATGAACATCAGTCCTTGTTTGAAGTTGCAACTGACTAACTTACAATTGAATAAACCTAGAAATCTGTCTATTTTACTACATATAATTGATAGCTCATATATGAAATTAGTGAAATTGCTCCCATATTCTTCCTGGGTTGTATCCAGATTCCATCCTAAGAAGCACTCATGGAATCATCATCTCAACAAGTAGCCTCATTCTCACTCACAAGGCAGTCTTGGGCAGGCTGAATGGCCTTGACCCTTGGATCTTGTTGTTGATTGTCATTGAAAATATTGATCAATATAATGTGAAAGCTCATGGGTATATGTACATATTGTAATTAACTTGCAGGGAGCCAAGCAACTGAGTGTTCTAGCTTGTATTTTCAGTGCACTTCTTGAATACTGCCAGCCTGGTCTATGTCCTGGGTGGAGAACACTCAACCCACATGATAGGTGAGTTAGAATATATGGGAATGGAGTAGTTATTGGACCACAACTGAAAATACATATGGAATGAGGAAAGATATATTTCTATTTGAAAAGTTTGAAAAGTAGTCAGCCTTTGAAATTTCCTATTTGAAAAATCAGCGTTGAAAATATCTTGGCATCTGTTCTTTCCAGGGTTGCTAACTGTACAGATGCTATGCAACTTGCTGAGAAACACTTTGACATTCCACAAGTTGTACGCCCAGAAGATCTAGCGAGCCGTGACCTTGATGAACTCTCTGGTATGACATATCTATCATACTTCATGAAAGTTGACTCGCCAGGATATTACGCAACTCTAAATTACGTACGGGATCAGTTGAGGTCAGAAGGAAAAACAGTCAACAACTTTCAGGTATTAGTTCATTTTAGAGCTGTTTTGTGTTTTAGAAAACAATAAACATAATATATTATACTGTTATGTAGTACATATGATAAAATACATAAAATAATGCATTGGTCTGTCGAAATACCCACTGTTAGCATATGCCTAAAGGAGTGGTATCGATATGGTGAACTTTTCGAACACGCATTTCTCTTAAACCAGTCATCAAAACATTCTGAAAATTTTACACATCGTTAATTTAATGGTCATCTTTTGGATGGTAACATTATAATTTGAAATATATACGAATGATATAGTTCATATTATATTTTTTATCAAAGATATTAATACAATACCAACGTTATCATATACATGTTGCTCCTGACCAAGTATGAACAAAATTCACCAAGAAATATTTTTTTTAGATAAAACGGTAAAATATTGTTTTAGAAAACACATCAGACACTTCTTTTGTTCTTGTTATCATATGTTCGGAATGAAATGAAACATCTATCTGAACCTCATTGGAACAAAACAACATAAACACAATGTGTTTAGGTCTCTCAATATTATTGTAATTGTACAAAGGAAAGTTTGGTTGATTTTAAAAAAGTATCTTGTTAATGAAATAAAAGGTTTATCTTAATTTTTATCTATTTTGGGGGTTTGCATACTTTTTGTTAAAACAACCAAAATTTCCTTTATATAACTGTAATATTAAGAGGACTAAGAAAATGTTGTATATGCTATTTTGTTCCAACGAGGTTCGGAAAGACATTTTATTTCATTCTCAAGAATTGGTAGAAAGGAACAAAAAACAATTGCACTAAAAACAAAAAATGTTAACAAAAACAGTTATATAAAATATATATAAACAATTTTTGCATTAAATTGTTGCCAATCAGTCAACATTACATAAAGGACCGTGTTTTTTACAGTATGTTTTCAATAATTGTTTTAAGAGAAAAACATTGTTGAATTCAGTTCACCATATCGATATCTATCCTTTGAAAAGAAGTCCAATAGAATTCAGGAATGCTTATTCATTTAGACTGATTGGAATGATGGAAAGGTTCTGTGTTCCCTTGTCAACTCATTAGGCGGCCATATTTATGATGTCAGCAACACTGACTGGCCGGGCAATTGTGCTAAAGGTAATGTCAACAGAAAATTCTGCACACTTTCTTGCCAGCATAGTATAGTATATGTACATAAATAATATATGTTATAAGTAAATAGTGACTGAGAATATATAATAAGATAAATAACTGCAAATAAATATTAATTTTCTGGGTGGATTATAGAATTGTCTGGAAATGTTTATTAAGTGATACCTGAATGTATTATTTCTGTAGGTATGCAGCAGGCTGAAGAGATGGGTGTTGCACCTGTAATCTCCCCTGAGGAAATGGCAGACCCAGACACAGACCATCTTGGAATCATGGCATATGCAGCATACTTCCAGAACATTCATCCAAATAAGCTTGTACCAAATGGGAACACAGCCACGGAGACTCATGCAAATAAAGTAAAGTTGGATGCTGACTTAAAGACAGTGACAGTCGGCAGTTCTGTGAGTTCATGTTTTATACTTAAAGTGGATAAGAGTTAATCAGCAAAGAATATAGATGTAAACACTCAGAGTCTTGAAAATCAGATTAAACTGAAAACCAAAAGATGCCTTAATGACTTACAAAGAAACAAAGGACCTCTGCTCAAGCAGAAATTTTCAAGATGGCAGCTGAATTTCAAAATGGCCACCATTTTTAGAAAAAAATTCTTTTCTAACTCAAATACCAGTGGATGGATTTGGTTCAATTTGGTTTATATGCTCATATGCTCTGTTCAAGAAGAAATTTTCAGGGTGGCCACTAGTTATCAAAATATGTATTGTTATTTTGGACATGCTACTCTGTTGAGTTCCTTTTTTCTAGTTTCCCTTCAGATTTCACTGTACATGTATTTAAGGTAATTATATTGATGGAAGTGAGTCATTCATTTGGACATACCTTGCAAGCAACTATATTCAATGCTTGAAGACTGTGTTAATCATTTTTTGAATGTCTTAATCTATAATGAAGTATTTAAAAATGGAAAAATAAGATACCAAGAATTTCACACTAAGCAATTAAGAACTTCATTTGGAGATCAGTAGTGAGAAACAGAAATCGTTTTACTTATGTTGTAAAGATGTCACAACTATACTATTTAAAGGAAAGTTTATAGTTAAAGTAAATTTTGCCTCAAGGTATTTGTATATCTGGTAAAGCATTTGTCTTTATTTTGTCTTTGCAGGAAACATTAACCACTCATAAGAGTCCATTTGAAATAGCCTGCTTATAAAGCAACATTGTTTCACCATTGTCTTTCTTCATGAATGATGTTTGGTGTAGAATCTTATTGTTAATTATACATCTTAGGACCAATGAAACTTTATATGTTATCGCATGGATCTACCTTACTTAGCCCCTACATATGAGTTTTGTTCTTCTGTTCAATCATATACATATGCCATGTACATGTTAAACTTTTACTTGGCCCTGAACATGATAGGATTGTTTTCAGAAAACATTCCACGTTGATCTATTGGATAGCCAAGTGCAAGAATCGGATCTCCGTGTAGAATTACAAGGACCCACAAGTCAGCCCCCTGTCAGCCTCTTTTTCAACGGAGATCGGGGAGAAGCAGTTTTTGTGCCCTCAGAATCTGGGACCCACCAGGTAAACTCATATTTAATCATCCATATTTTTAATACTGTTACCATATGGAATGTTGTATACTGAACATTGTATGTGACATGTCATGAATTGTAGTGTTTTGGCGAGAAATATTTGAAATATTTGATTGTCTTATATTTTAGTTGACTGTGTTCTGTAAAGGAGAGGTTGTCCAGGGTTGCCCTGTGAAGTTCCTATCTGTGGCAGATAAAAGTAAAGTACTTCTCATGTCTAGCTTTGACACGTGCAATGTGGGATGTAGCACTGAGATCAAGGTAATGGACGAAATTATTTAAAAGAAACCCTAAAACAACAGGAAAAAGTCTCTCTTTTTTAGAAAGATTTTTTTGAAAGCTATTAAAGAGAATTTAAAGAAATTATTTAATGTAAATCTTGAATTTAATGCCCATGATATGGTGTTCGGAAGATCTGTAAATAATGTAAACCTTTTGCTAAATAGGCTATCAGTAGCAATCAAATATTATATATATGCAAAACAATTTAATGAGTCAAATCCCAACTTGGACGTGACTCAATTTGAAAATACTATGTTTTTATATTATGTACCAGAACTTCTGGGTGTGACTTGCGAATGTCTGAATGAATGGGAAAAAAAGGAAAATGTCTCGATGAATCTTTGAATATGCAATACATTGTACATTCTGATTGACAGAAATAAATTGTCTTTGAGATGTTTGTCTCCAGTTATTTATTGTGTGCAGACATTGATATTTATGTATTGCCTGTAGTTTTGATGTTTCATATTAAAATGCCATTGTAGCCATGCTGTAATGCAAACTTGAGTGAAATAGAGAGGAGGTACCCCTTATATACTACGTACTATAGATGTTGTATGGCAATGAGAAACACTTTAAGGAAAGTTATGCTTTCTTTGGAGAATGTATGTATTAAGAGATGGAATGTTTATGGAAATGAATGATGTGTTATGATTTAATATAATAATAGAAATACAAAAAATGTAACAGTGATCAGGCATCATGACACTTAAGTGTAGCCAGGTGTCAACTCTAAAATGCATGATTATAATCATTTATAACTAATCCATAAGAGAGGCAGAGGAGAGACTCATATTCATGGACATACAAGTAGTAGGGTTGTGGGCAAGGGGCATTTCAGTTTAGGACTCGGTGCACCTCAAGCAGCCACCCTAAAGGAGAAAAGAAGCCATATTATGCAGGATGTAACATGGTCAGTAGAAAAAGAATGGTCCATCAAAGCAGTAGAGCAGACAAAGCAAGTAAGATAACTGTGAAGCAGTTCTAAAGAGACATCAATCTTGGAAAGAGGTTTGATCTCTCTAGCCATTGTCACCAAATTTGATAGTATGGGGCAAAGAAGATTCTTGGGCAAAGAAATAATGTAGTGTGATGCTCAAGGAGCAATACCATGTTTAGTGATATTTAATCTACCAATACAATCTTTTTAAAACAGTGGTGCTTCAACAGGAGGAAGTTATTAAAATTTGATTCCTTTAATCGGAACAAGTGCGTAGCTCCCATAATTACATCATACTTTATCATATTCGAGGATTCCCCAGTATATGATGTCCAATCAAACTGCAGGATGTGATCACGTGAACAATCATGAGCACGTGCTCGTGGAAATGGTGTTTATTTCAGTTGAATAAAAAGTATAAGCATGGCACACTGTCTAATGAGACTTTTGGTAGAAGGTGACCATTTTTACTATAACTCGAAAAGAAGTGGAGCGATTTTGTTCATATTTGGTATGTGAATATTATTAGCATGGCACACTGTCTAATGACACTTTTGGTAGAAAGTGCCCCTTTTGAAAAATGTTCGATGGGATTCGCTACGCTTTGGCGTTGCCGTTGTTCTGGTTTCAAAACTACGGTAATGTAGTACTATTAAAGTTACTCGATCTTAACTTGTAGAGAATACTCATAAAACAACAACGAACATTGAGAGATTCATTTCAATGGCAAATGAGGTCTATTTATAAAATTGGTTATTGAATGTGCCAATACCAAAGGTTATCTCTGGGAAATATCCACCCTGTCCTTTAATACTGATCATTTGTATAATATTGAGGTATTTAGTATTGAGACATTGAGCAGTGGATGTTGTAAACGTTATATAATAACTTAAGTTATCACTGTTTGTCATTGGGCAATGTTTACGACAGATGTTCAAGATATTGCATAATAGTACTAATAGAGTACTTTAATGTACAGGGATTACTCAAGGTTTTCTTTTTAATATTCGTGTACGGCATTGTGACAACATTTTAAAAAATACAAATTTAACAGAACTGCATGTAAATAAGTGTATCTAGTGGAAACCCAAGGTAAAATTATGTTCTGCATACTGAAGCTATATATAGCTTTTCTTGCGTCCAGTACATTTTCATTGCCTGATTACCAATGGTTCTGGAAAGAGGATAGTCCTATTTAATCCAGATCGTGTTTTTGTTTCACATAGCTGGTATAAAACAATCTAATCAGAGAGAAAGCGCTTCCCCTGTGGGCCCTGTGTTTCATCAGTCATCATTGTTCTATACATGAACATCTCATCCTTCAGGAAGCTGTCAATCTCTCTCTTGAACTGGTTTGTAGTTTCACAATCAATTATATGTTGGGGTAGTGCATTCCAGCTTTGTGCTATTCTGTTTCCAAAGCAATTTTGTGTAGGTATTGCATCCAGTATTTTTTCGAATTTCTGAAATTTTGTCATTTCTCTAATATCAATCACTCCGAAGCTAAAATTTGCTGACTGGATGGTGTATTTTTGTTTCAGACACAAGAAAATGGCATATATTGTCTATTAAAGGGTAAATGAAAAGAAATAACTCGATGAAAACGAAATGAAACACTGTAAAACTATCACAGACTACCAATTAAAAGTACACCTACCTCTCTCTCGATCAAAAATGGAGGTCTGCGTCAAGTATTTCTGGACGAAAATACTGGACGTGTTTCTATCCCATGATAAAAAGGTGCTCCAAAAAAAAGCTAAAGAATTGCACCATCAGAGAGGTATTGTGAGAATCCTTGGCCAATTTAGCAGATATAATCTCTCATCAGCAACATTATAAAGGATTACAGCTGTTGGTAGATCTCCACACAGAACTTGTCTTTTCCCACAATGTGGCTGCAACAAACTTGTGTTCAGACACTCTTTTGACTTCCAGTTCAACTAAGACCTTTCTCATCATTGACCCAACAGTTCCATGGGAGCATAGGCTGGAGTTTCATATGAGATCAAAGCAGCTAAATATTGAGTCATCGCAGATAAAGCTGAGACAAGCGGTTGGCACGTCTCTTTCTTTCCCAATATAATGAGCTACAGAGGATTTCCAGCAACATCAGCCAGAACCCTATTACCCAAGCTAGGGACTGCGAATCAAGGAACTTGAAAGCACCCTAAAGAGCTCCAGATGGCTAAGGATTAATAGAAAAATGTAACCCCAAGGTGACACAATCCACCATTCCATCAGGACAATGCTAGTAGATACATGTATGGCCACCTACATATGATAGCTCATTCATGGATGGGGAGTATACAGCAGGAGTCGAAAGTCAGACCTCAAACCTGTATTCAAGCATGTTTACTTTCCATATGGTTTTATTTTGAAATGGTTACAAAATAACAATATGTATATTTCCATCTGTTTCTAGGTCAGTGCCCCCAATTCTATAGATGGTGCTGTTCAGGTGGAGGCCATCTCACCAAGAGGGCAAAGCCAAAACATGTCAGTCACTCAGGAGGATGGCAAATTTATGTCAAACTTTGTGCCAACTGAAATAGGTTAGTTAACATTTGTTACATTCTTTTTTAAATTTCTTATAAAGGAGGATTTAATTGTGATCCTTGTTTAAAGTATTAGAGCATGTAGAAGTTGAATAATAGAGCATACTGAAGTATTAAGTTTATACAAGAGTGGAATAATAGAGTATGCAAGAGTGAAATAATAGAGTATACAAGAGAGAAATAATAGAGTATACAAGAGAGGAATAATAGAGTATATAAGAGTGGAATAATATAGTATACAAGAGTGGAATAATAGAGTATACAAGAGAGAAATAATAGAGTATACAAGAGTGGAATAATAGAGTATATAAGAGTGGAATAATAGAGTACATAAGAGTGGAATAATAGAGTATACAAGAGTGGAATAATAGAGTATATAAGAGTGGAATAATATAGTATACAAGAGAGGAATAATAGAGTATACAAGAGAGAAATAATAGAGTATACAAGAGTGGAATAATAGAGTATACAAGAGTGGAATAATAGAGTATACAAGAGAGGAATAATAGAGTATACATGAGTGGCATGATAAAGTATACAAGAGAGGAATAATAAAGTATACAAGAGTGGAATGATAAAGTATACAAGAGAGGAATAATAAAGTATACAAGAGTGGAATAATAGAGTATACAAGAGTGGAATGATAAAGTATACAAGAGAGGAATAATAGAGTATACAAGAGTGGAATAATAAAGTATACAAGAGAGGAATAATAGAGTATACAAGAGTGGAATAATAAAGTATACAAGAGAGGAATAATAAAGTATACAAGAGTGGAATAATAGAGTATACAAGAGAGGAATAATAGAGTATACAAGAGTGGAATGATAAAGTATACAAGAGAGGAATAATAAAGTATACAAGAGTGGAATGATAAACTATACAAGAGAGGAATAATAAAGTATACAAGAGTGGAATAATAGATATACAAGAGTGGAATGATAGAGCATGCTGAAGTGGAGTTATGATACAGTAATTAACAAGAGTAGAATAATTGAGTATACAAGGGCATTAAAAACAGTTATATATATTTCCTAAGACTGAGCTGTATCCATATTAAACTTTCATAAATGATAGGAAGTAGACATTAAACTCCAGGCACTGTTTGATGATCAAACCAAAGGGATAATATTTTAAGAGTATTGATTCAAAATAATGGAAACGACCATAATTTTTCAAAATTGGAACTAAAAAGAAATGAATCAGTATTTGGCATGTTGACAAAGCAAAGAGGGAATTCATTTCATGATTGTTTCAATAATATGATCACACCATTATAGTATACAACGAAAACTTTACAGAATAAATCAGAACTGGTTTCAGTATGTTTCCCTACAGTTGTCATATTGATATATGACAACCGATGATGATATGTTACATATTTCATGATAAGAAGGTAAATTAATGATATTGTTTAAGTGATATGCAAGAATCCAATAATGTATTCTATTTATATCTTGTCTCAGGAGAGTGGACTATAAAGATCCTGTATGAAGGTGAACACATAAGTGGCAGTCCATTCCATGTGAGAGTCTATGACTCAGGTCTAGTCAAAGTTTACGGGTTAGAAGGTGGCTCTGTGGGAGAACCATTCAGTTTTACAGGTAAGATTCACAGATGGAAAATACTGAGATTCTAAACTACATTAAATTTCACACCATTACATTACAAGATCTCTAAATTGTGTAGAAATGCCAGATTATCTCAGTTAATAAACACATTGCTGATAAATAATCAGATAATGATCTATGACACAATGTATAACAGCTGACACAACTTAAATTAATGATCTATCAACACATTGTATTGCAGCTGATAGATCATCAGTTAATGATCTATAAGCACACCACTGTATTGCAGTTGATAGATCATCAGTAAACACAATTGCAGCTGATAAATAATCAGATAATGATCTATGACACAATGTATAACAGCTGACACACCTTAAGTTAATGATCTATAAGCACACTGTATTGCAGCTGATAGATCATCAGTTAATGATCTATAAGCACACCACTGTATTGCAGTTGATAGATCATCAGTTAATGATCTATAAGCACACCACTGTATTGCAGTTGATAGATCATCAGTAAACACAATTGCAGCTGATAAATAATCAGATAATGATCTATGACACAATGTATAACAGCTGACACACCTTAAGTTAATGATCTATAAGCACACTGTATTGCAGTTGATTAGATCATCAGTTAATGATCTATAAGCACACCACTGTATTGCAGTTGATAGATCATCAGTTAATGATCTATAAGCACACTGTATTGCAGTTGATAGATCATCAGTTAATGATCTATAAGCACACCACTGTATTGCAGTTGATAGATCATCAGTTAATGATCTATAAGCACACTGTATTGCAGTTGATAGATCATCAGTAAACACAATTGCAACTGATAAATCATTAGTTAATGATCTATAAACACACTATAATGCAGGTGACACATCACCAGTTAATGATCTATAAACACATTGTATTGCAGCTGATACATCATCTATAAACACATTGTATTGCAGCTGATATATCATCAGTTAATGATCTATAAGCACACCACTGTATTGCAGTTTATACACCATCAGTTAATGATCTATAAACACAATTGCAACTGATAAATCATTAGTTAATGATCTATAAACACACTACAGTATACTGCAGGTGACACACCATCAGGTAATGATATTTAAACACACTGTATTGCAGCTGATACATCATCTATAAACACATTGTATTGCAGCTAATATATCATCAGTTAATGATCTATAAACACACTGTATTGCAGCAGATACATCATCTATAAACACATTGTATTGCAGCTAATATATCATCAGTTAATGATCTATAAACACACTGTATTGCAGCAGATACATCATCAGTTTATGATCTATAAACACATTGTATTGCAGCTGATAAATCATTTGTTAATGATCTATAAAGACACTGTATTGCAGCTGATATATCACCAATTAATGATCTATAAACACACTGCATTGCAGCTGATACATCGTCAGTTAATGATCTATAAACACATTGTATTGCAGCTAAATACATCAAAACTTAATGATCTATAAACATATTGTATTGCAGCTGATACATCATCAGTAAATGATCTATAAACACAATGTAGTGCAGCTGATACATCATCAGTTAATGATCTAGAAACACACTGTATTGCAGCTGATAAATCATCAGTTAATGATCTATAAACACAATGTATTGCAGCTGATACAACATCAGTTAATGATCTATAAACACAATGTATTGCAGCTGATACATCATCAGTTAATGATCTATAAACACACTGTATTGCAGCTGATATATCATCAGTTAATGATCTATAAACACACTGTATTGCAGCTGATACATCATAAGGTTAATGATCTATAAACACATTGTATTGCAGCTGATACATCATCAGTTAATGATCTATAAACACACTATATTGCAGCTGATGCATCATCAGTTAATTGTCTATGAAGTATGAACATATGGTTGTGCAGCTGATGAATTATCAGTAAATGATCTGTAAACACAATGTATTGCAGCTGATACATCATAAGTTAATGATCTATAAACACAATGTATTGCAGCTGATACATCATCAGTTAATGATCTATTAACACAATATATTGCAGGTGACACATCATCAGTTAATGATCTATAAACACATTGTATTGCAGCTGATAAATCATCAATTAATGGTCTATAAACACAATATATTGCAGGTGACACATCATCAGTTAATGATCTCTAAACACAATGTATTGCAACTGATAAATCATTAGTTAATGATCTATAAACACACTATACTGCAGGTGACACACCATCAGTTAATGATCTAGAAACACACTGTATTGCAGCTGATAAATCATCAGTTAATGATCTATAAACACAATGTATTGCAACTGATAAATCATTAGTTAATGATCTATAAACACACTATACTGCAGGTGACACACCATCAGTTAATGATCTAGAAACACACTGTATTGCAGCTGATTAATCATCAGTTAATGATCTATAAACACACTGTATTGCAGCTGATATATCATCACTTAATGATCTATAAACACACTATATTGCAGCTGATATATCATCAGTTATTGATCTATAAACACATTGTATTGCAGCTGATATACCATCAGTTAATGATCTATAAACACATTGTATTACAGCTGATACATCATAAGGTTAATGATCCTTAAACACAATGTATTGCAGCTGATACATCATCAGTTAATGATCTATAAACATACTATATTGCAGCTGATGCATCATCAGTTAATGATCTATGAACACATGGTATTGCAGCTGATAAATCATCAGTTATCGATCTATAAACACACTGTATTACAGCTGATACATCATCAGTTAATGATCTATAAACACACTATGTTGCAGCTGATACATCATCAGTTAATGATCTATAAACACATTGTATTACAGCTGATAAATCATTACTTTATGGTCTATAAACACACTGTATTGCAGCTGATACATCATAAGTTAATGATCTATAAACACACTGTATTGCAGCTGATACATCATAAAGTAATGATCTATAAACATACTGTATTCCAGCTAATACATCTTCAGTTAATGATCTATAAAAACACTGTATTGCAGCTGATACATCATAAAGTAATGATCTATAAACACACTGTATTGCAGCTGATACATCATAAGTAAATGATCTATAAACACACTGTATTGCAGCTGATATATCATCAATTAATGATCTATAAACACACTGTGTTGCAGCTGATACATCTTCAGTTAATGATCCATAAAAACACTGTATTGCAGCTGATACATCATTAGTTAATGATCTATAAACACACTGTATTGCAGCTGATACATCATAAGTAAATGATCTATAAACACACTGTATTGCAGCTGATATATCATCAATTAATGATCTATAAACACACTGTGTTGCAGCTGATACATCTTCAGTTAATGATCCATAAAAACACTGTATTGCAGCTGATACATCATTAGTTAATGATCTTTAAACACACTGTGTTGCAGCTGATACATCATCAGTTAATGATCTATAAACACATTGTATTACAGCTGATAAATCATTACTTTATGATCTATAAACACACTGTATTGCAGCTGATACATCATTAGTTAATGATCTATAAACACACTGTATTGCAGCTGATACATCATCAGCAGGTGATGGAGAATTAGCTGTCAAAGTTTTAAGAGATGGACACCTAGTTGCAGCTCAAGTGCTTGAGGACGGAGCCGGAGTGAATAAAGTTAACTTCACACCAGATGGCCCTGGTGTGTATATGATACATGTCTACTTTGGTGGTAAAGAAATATCAGGTAAGAAGTGTAAACTATTAATATGGAGAGGGATTAGCAATATATATAGTACATGATTGTAATAAATTCATATGCAAAATGGGAGACCTGGGAGACAATCTAAAGCTTACTGTGTGATATTGTAGTCATTTATTAGTTGTCATGTATTGTATTTTTTGATTTTGTTATGTTGGTTGCATATTGTGCTTGGTTGAAAAGGTTGATTGTTCTAAGTCATTGCCTAATGATACGTGGTTGTGGGTTGTGTCACCCAGTAGTGTTTGATCATGCTCTGTCTCACTTAACTCAATGGTTTATATTCATTAGATAACAGGTTGCACCCAATTATATTTTATTGTTGATATTGTTCTAGATGTTTGATTGTATTGCATGTAGTAGTGGCAGATTATGTTGCAATGTAAGGTCAGGTTTTAACATTGGTCCATGGGTTTCTAGACAACTCATCCCAAGACAACTCATCCCAAGACATCTCATCCCAAGACATCTCATCCCAAGACAACTCATCCCAAGACATCTCATCCCAAGACAACTCATCCCAAGACATCTCATCCCAAGACATTGGATTGGGATGAGTTGTTTGCAGAAGGTTCCATGTGTTCTTAATTTCAGCCAGGTGGGCTGGCGGCGTCTCAAAATCTTGTCATCACAATTCCAAGAAAACCACTTGATGGATTTACTTCAAATATTCTCACATGTTACATACATGTAATAATAAGTTCTAGAGCTGATGAACTTTTCAGCGGCCATTTTGCATTCTGGCAGCCATCTTAGAAGTTTTTAGTTAAATTTTGTCATCGCGATTCCAGGAAAACCGCTTAACGATATTTTTCAAATTTTCACACATGTTACATGGTATGAATCTTTTGAGCTGATCAACTTTTCATCTTGCTTTCTTGGTCATCAAGCCCACATTGCTATGTTTTAGGTACGATATTGTTCACCCTGTGCCTTGTTTATGAAAAATATAGAAATAACACCCAAAGTAAATTATGAATATTCAAAAAAGGACATTTAAATCTACAAGATTTTCCAAAGCAGGCGTGCAGTAGACCAATTCAATAAAAGACAAGTCTCGATTTGGAGAAAGAGGTCCATCATCCAAATTAAATTATGAAATGAGGGGACATTTAAATCTACAAGATCAAAATTGTCCAAAGCAGGCATAACATGCAGTGGACTGATGAACTTTGTTCTCCAAACCGAGACTTTATCCTTTATGTCCTTTTCATTTGCTGAAGTAGGATCACTGTTTCTCCTGTCAGTAAAACTAGAATAAGGGACTGGTATAGGTTTCCAGAATTCTGAGAAAAATACTTCTATGTATCCATTTGATTATATAATAAGATGCATCATAACCTATTTGAATATTTAATATTTATATTTAATATTTAACTCAATAATCAGTACATGCTATATGATCATAACCCAGATGTGAGTAGGTAGTTACCAGTTTCACCACCAGTTGGCTAATCTGGGGCAGATAACATGGCTGGGTATGAGAAGTTCCTTTTTGTGGAGTAGGGAAACAAGTAAGAAAAGAGAGTGTACCAAAATTCCCAAATTGCAGAGCCTGATATAACTAAATGTACATGTATCTTAAAATATTGACAGCACTGTATTAGAAAACAATCATAGAACCTGAAGGAAAATAAAAGTTTGCTACAAAGACATCCAAGAAAATCATAGTGTCTTATGGAAATATTTCAAAGGTTTGTGAGTTCTTGATGTTTATTGATAGTTTGTGAAACTAATTTTGAATGACTTTAGCTAAAATTAGTTGGGTCTGTTGGGTCATCAGGTCTGTCAACCTGGGAACTCCTAAAAATGAGTGACTTAAAAATGTTGAACACCTCCCTTCAAATTGTGGACACCTTGGTCCAAATCTGAACACCTTGGTTAAATTTTTATTCCTGTTTATCCAAATTTTGGACAACTCAAATTTTTCACACTCGCTTTGTGTCATTTATAAGCAAATGCGTGACATATACGCAATTCGCATAAAAAAGATTTTCGGCGTTTGTTTTTGACGTTCACTTTTGATATTCTTCTTCTGATATATTTTTGCTTGACAATAAGCTTAATCAGAAAAAATGCATAATTGCGTGACATATTCTGTCATGCAAAAAATTTGGGCAGGAGTTCTACAATTTCTTCAGGAAATGCGTGACAAATATGCAAATTGCGGGAAAGTTGGATGGCCTAGGTCATTTCTTTCTGCATCTTTGATGGAAATATTTATTGCACTGAACAAAGTTTGAGGGGGATATAGGAAAGCTGTCCAGCCGTTCTCCGTCCGTCCATCCGTCTGTTTGTCCAGGCGCCAAGTCCAATACCGGGAGGCAGATTTGATTCAAATTTTATAGGCTTATGCCTTATAGTGATAGAACCTCTGCACAAGATGGAGTTTTCAGTATGGTCTCTTAATTCAAAATGGCTGCCATTTTTCGTAAAAAAAATTTAATCTTAGATTACTCAAATACTGGTTGACGGATTTGAATCAAATTTTATTCTCTGATGCCTAGGGACAAAGGAGCTATGCAGAAGAAAAGATTTTAAAGATGGCTGCTAAATTACAAAATGGCGGCCATTTTTTGTGAAAAAGAGTAATCTTTTATAACTCAAATACCAGTGAATTGATTTGGTTCAAATTTTATATGCTGATGCCTAGGGACAAAGTAGATTTGTCCAAGAAAGAATTTTCAAGATGGCGGCTGAATTTCAAAATGGCCACCATTTTTCATAAAAAACGTAATCTTTGATAACTCAAATATTAGTCAACAGATTTGGTTCAAATTTTATATGCTGATGTCTAGGGACAAAGGAGCTACCCTGAAGAAGAGATTTTCAAAAAGGCTGCTAAATATCGAAATGGCGGCCATTTTTCCTGAAGAATGTAATCTTTGATAACTCAAACAGCAGGGAAAGGATTTTTTTCGAAATTTTATATGCTGATGTCCATGGGCACAGTAGCTCTGTTCGAGAAATATTTTCAAAATGGCAGCTGAATTTCAAAATGGCTGCCATTTTTCGTAAAAAAGAAATGTAATCTTTGATAACCCAAATGCTAATTGATGTATATGGTTTACATTTTACATGTTGATGCCTAGGGACAAACAAGCTCTGATCAAGAAGGAACTTTTTAAGATGGCCACTAATAAGCAAAATATGTATATTATTTATGAGCAATGCCTTTATAACCAAAATAATGGGACATACTGTTTGAATCATAGGTTGGTAAAGATAATTTTACCATGCCATCTTTATATCAGACCAAAACCTATGGTTAATGAATAGAATGATCTAATTAGTACCATACACATGCACATAAAGAATACATATGCCTCAGAAAATTAAAAGTGCACCCAAAAATTCACAATAGTTATTTTTATGTTAATCCACTATTTTACCATAAAAATATTTAGCAAAATTGTATTTAATGTAAATCTGTTTATAATATGTATAAACTGCTTTACTGTATTGAACATATAATGACAGTGAAATTATATAGCAATATAATACATAGAAATCAATTATAAACCATCAGCTGCGTTGTGTATACATGTATACTAGACTAGTCCAATGAGATCACTGATTGGCTAATAACAACCGGCTGTATGGCATTTAAAGGAAAGTTGTTTTCATGAGAATTCAAATCACTCACATCTACTAAATAGCTATAAGAACAAACAAATGCAATAGATTCAAGAATTTAAAGATTTAGTAGTATATAATAGAGACAACTAAGATAAAGAACTAGGATAAAATTAGAAACTTTCTTCAAACAGAGGATATATTCAGAGAGGATCATCAATACTTGGATTTTAAGTACAGTAGCATAAGTATTATATTTTAGGAGAACATTAGGATATATGGAAATAAAATACCAAAGATGAAATGGCAAATAATCATTTCTGTGTGAGAAGTTGATGAAAATCACAGCAAATAATTATAAATATAAAGATTACAACAACAGGTCTTAATGGGAAATCAGTCTTTTCTGGTTATTTAGTACATGCTTCAAAATTATTCACATAAAAGTTCTTTGCAATTAAAATATGTATTTAAAATAATCTGTTGAATGGAGGTGTTCCATAAATTGTTGATCAATAAGTTTTCATTGAACTCTTAGGGCGAAAATATATACGTCATTCTTAACCTTTTCATGCATTCAAAATGAATCAATATAAAAAATCGAATGTAGTATCAACCAAAATAGAATGAGACATTTTTGAAACTTTTAAATTCATACAAACTTTTAAAATTCTCGAAACATCTTTCTAGTTTAATGACCTCTGGTATGCTTAGATAACATCATGCACTGTCAAATACAGAAAAGGTAAAAATGGTTGAATTAGCTAGACCCCTAAAGTATACTAGAGGAAGATTAGAAAGAAACATTCTTACATCCTTGAATTTCATTCTCTAATTTTAATTTTATGAACATCCTTTTTGCATTTTCATGAATTTGTGTCTGGGAGAATGAGAATCATGTAATATCTCTGTCTATTTTTTATCAGAGTTAACAGTAAATGGATTGTTCTGAAGCTTAAAAATATAAATAAGGTGCTAGGAGCACTATGCTTTTAAAGGTTCACCAGCCAACTTTAAATGACTTTGACTTCAATCATGCATATTTAGTCAGAGTTTTTAAACCATGCACAGTGGCATAGCCAGGATTCGACAGGAGGGGGTTCGAATATTTTCAGCAAAAATCTTTTTTGGAGCCACCTAACGGCGGTGACTTTGGTGAAAACCTTTCCTTTGTTTAATCTCTGACTAATTTGATTAAATGCCAGATTTGCTTAATTTTGGTCCATTTTATTAGTTTTTGGCAGTTTACTGAAAGGACGATTCTCGGTTTGGAGAACGAAGTTCATCAATCTAAATGAGCATTATCCCTGCTTCGGACAAACTTGATTTTTTTACATAATATAGATTTGAATGTCCTCTTTTGAATAGTCATAATTTAATTTGGGTAATATTTCTAGATTTTTCTCAAAAAAATATTAGCGCAGTACACTGATGAACTTCTTTCCCCAAATCGAGACTTGTATTTTATTAAAATCGGTCTAATTGAGCGTTATCCTTGCTCCAGACCAATTTGATATTTTTACATCTTGTAGATTTAAATGTGCTCTTTTGAATATTCATAGTTTAATTTGGGTAATATTTCTATATTTTTCATGAAAAAAAATATTAGCCCAGGAGACTGTTCTCCAAACCGAGAATCGTCCTTTGAAGTTTTACCTTTTCCAAACATTTGCAAGAACAAAATTATAGGCCAAGTGAAATATCCCCACTTTTGACAAATATCGTTCATTTGGAACATTTAAGGGCAAAAATCTAGAACTTTTTCAACAAAGGCCTGTTAAACTCCCTTTAAATTTTATGTTTTTACCACTTTCTTGATAGGTCAGAAATATAAATCCATAAGAAATAGCTCAAGGACATTATCAGACATAGACTCCCCCAATTTAATTCAAGTCTTGATTGTGTAATTCAATTATCTAGTATTTGCCATTACTCGCACTATGTGCTCTTCAAATAAATAGGAAAGGACGATTCTCGGTTTGGAGAACAGTCTCCTGGGCTAATAATTTTTTTCATGAAAAATATAGAAATATTGCCCAAATTAAACTATGAATATTCAAAAGAGGACATTTACATCTACAAGATGTAAAAATAACAAATTGGTCTGAAGCAGGGATAATGCTCAATTAGACTGATTCAATAAAATACAAGTCTTGATTTTGGGGAAAGAAGTTCATCAGTGTACTGCGCTAATATTTTTTGCGAAAAATCTAAAAATATTACCCAAAATAAATTATGACTATTCAAAAGAAGACATTCAAATCTATATTATGTAAAAAAAATCAAAGGACGATTCTCGGTTTGGAGAACGAAGTTCATCAATCTAAATGAGCATTATCCCTGCTTCGGACATATTTGATATTTTTACATAATATAGATTTGAATGTCTTCTTTTGAATAGTTATAATTTAATTTGGGTAATATTTCTAGATTTCTCGCAAAAAAATATTAGCGCAGTACACTGATGAACTTCTTTCCCCAAATTGAGACTTGTATTTTATTAAATCGGTCTAATTGAGCGTTATCCCTGCTTCAGACCAATTTGTTATTTTTACATCTTATAGATATAAATGTCCTCTTTTGAATATTCATAGTTTAATTTGGGTAATATTTCTATATTTTTCATGAAAAAATTATTAGCCCAGGAGACTGTTCTCCAAACCGAGAATCGTCCTTTGTCCGAAACAGGGATAATGCTAATTTAGATTGAAGAACTTCGTTCTCCAAACCGAGAATCGTCCTTTAGCAAATATGTGAAAACAATTTTGAAAGTGACTCCTGACCAAAAATAAACACATGTTCAGAATTCCCAATCAGACAGTTTATACTCGGTTAAGATGCTTTATTTGTACAATTGAATTCCTTTTGATGGTATTAGAACAGTATTTCAGGCCTAAAATACGAAGTGCAAAACTATTATCGCCCATCTAAAAATATATTGTTTTTCTGTATTCTCAGTCACTTTACTCAAGATAAACTTATACACCTCACTTAATTCCATCTTTGCTTATACCTCGAATATTTAAGGTAATCAAAAAACGACAAATTACTGAAATACTGCAAAAATTAACTCAAAATATGGGGGTTCGCATAATTGCCGGAAAAGGTGGGTTTGATTTTTTTAGTCAAGATTTAGGGGGTTCGCATGAACCCTCCGAACCCCCTCTCTCTACGGCCCTGATGCAATCGTCTCTTAAGTCAGAAAAAGTCTTTCACCATTCACAATTACAGAACTTAATGAAGTTTTGAAGTTTGTGATACCAACTTTTCTTCCTTGATTATAATCAAAATCACGTAATGAACATTTTAATATAAGATTTTATACACTTTATCAAAAATCAATCTTTAGGCCTCTGGGTGTAACTACCTTCATATTCTAAATTTGTTTTGAGTAATGTTTGGCAGCTCTTGAATATCAATAATTATGTAATAGCTTCTTTGAAGATGATTGACATTTAATATTAGCATAACAAACTGATTACAGATGTGCTTTTAACATTAACGTTAACATTATAATGTCACTATGGTTTATTGTTCATGTAAGATACGACTAAATGTGATTTTAATCAATAAAGAACATAGATTACAAGCTGAATTCCCAAAGGTCATATAACAATTTAGCTCATGACTTTTGGTATTTAACATATAAGACATTTAATTCTTTCTATACCTCATCCACAGCCTTTGTCAAATTATTTTCAGTAAATATCTCCAAAAATACCATGTATGGTATGGCAAATGATTTCAGACAGTCAAAGCTTTAACCATGGCTATATTCCCACCATAATTCATCATTTTCACAAACATGGTCGTTTAGGAGGGACGGGAGAGGCTGTCATCTGTTTGTTCAGTTTTATGGATTTGGTTTTATAGACTGATGCCAAATTTTTAACATTTTCTTTCAATTCAAATAGTGCTATATTTCTTGAAAAATGTAATCTTTGATAACTCAAATATCATTAGATGGACTTGGCTCAAAAGACCATGTGCAGTTATGGCAAGTGATTTTAGACGGTCGTGTCTTTCACCATGAGTACTTTTTGGGCATAAATACAGTGTTTTTTATTAAAACAATATGTTTTCTTTCAAGTGAAGTACCCATGATGATAAAATAATAATTGAACAATTCGAAAAATTATGAGCAGGGACCCCATGTCAACATTTTTTTTCAAAATATTGAACCTACTTACTCAACAGAGGATCTCCTTTTTTATGTCCCCACCACATAGTGTTGGGCCATATTGTCGGCCTAGGCGCGTCCATCTGTCCGTCTGTCTGTTTGTCTGTCTGTCCGTCCGTCCGTACGTCCGGGAGTTTTCTCCAAAACCGCTACAGCTATCATCTTCAAATTTTCAGAGATAACTTATAAGTGCTTACAGATGTGGATGAAAAAAAATTTAACTCGAAACCTACTTCCTGTCGGCCATTTTGAAGTCAAATGCTAAAATCCTTGTCTGCAAATTTTAAGAAAAACGGCTTCACAGTTGCTTTTAAAACTTTAAGATCTTGTTCAGCTCACTTAATTCTACATCTGATTAGGTTTTGGACCTGTTAGCTCAGTTATGTCAGCCATTTTGAATGTCTTAAGAAAAGTTAGCGCGCGATAATACTTTGTATCATATTGAATGGTGTTTTTGAGTTTTCATACTTTAACTATTTAGTAGCTTTATAAATAATTTCAGGTGTACTTTGTTGTAAAAGCCTATGTTATTGCTAACAGTGGTTATATGTGACAATTTTGTAAAAGGAAATCAGCAGAAACTCATAATCACTTTTTTATTGTCAGCCATTTTGGATTTTTCCGTCCTAAAATCTTGTCTGTAAAGTCTTGTCTACACGTTTTCAGGTGAATCGTTTGGTAGATCAATTTCAAATTTTCAGGGATGATTCTTAGTATGCAAATCTAGATCTGATTAGTTTTTGGGTATTCTGGGTAAATGTCAAGGCAGCCATTTTGGATTTTCCGTCTTAAAAATCTTGTCTGTAAAGTCTTGTCTACGCATTTCCAGGTGAACCGTTTGGTAGATCAATTTCAAGTTTTCAGGGATGATTCTAAGTATGAAAATCTAGATCTGATAAGTTTTTGGGCATTCTGGGTAAATGTCAAGGCAGCCATTTTGGGTTTTCCGTCTCCAAAATCTTGTCTGTAAAGTCTTGTCTACGCATTTCCAGGTGAACCGTTTGGTAGATCAATTTCAAATTTTCAGGGATGATTCTTAGTATGAAAATCTAGATCTGATTAGTTTTTTGGCGTTCAGGGTAAATGTCAAGGCAGCCATTTTGGATTTTCCATCTTAAAATCTTGTCTGTAAAGTCTTTCAGGACGATAGGCTCCTTTTGGCACCATTATTTTTATTTATATACATCAATGAAATGACAATGTCTCCAGTTCTATTCAGTATTTTTACACCAAATTTTGACAAGTTGTTCTTATGTGATAATCCTTACTAAAAATTGTATATCAGTGATGAAATCCAAGGTATAGGTCCCAGGGCATAGGTATTTTGCAGTTTTCCCCTAAAAAACACTCTTACTTATCCGTCACTGGGGACAACATTTTCCTCTTATATTCATGTCGGGAAAGGGTTAAGGCAGCCATTTTGGATTTTCTGTCTTAAAATCTTGTCTGTAAAGTCTTGTCTACGCGTTTTCAGGTGAACCGTTTGGTAGATCAATTTCAAATTTTCAAGGATGATATTTTACTGTTAAAATCTTGGACTGATTAATTTATTGGCATTCTGGGTAAATATCAAGGCAGCCATTTTGGATTTTCCATTCTAAAATCTTGTCTGTAAAGTTTTGAATGCCAATAAATTAATCAGTCCAAGATTTTAACAGTAAAATATCATCCTTGAAAATTTGAAATTGATCTACCAAACGGTTCACCTGAAAACGCGTAGACAAGACTTTACAGACAATTACATGTTTTCTGGTTAACTGTTTGATGGATGAATTTCAAATTTTCAGGGGTGGTTCTTAGTATGAAAATCTAGAATTAACTAATTTTTGGGGATTCTGGGTAAATTTTAAGGCAGCCATTTTGGACTTTCCGTCCACAAATTGCGTCAGTAAAGTCTCGTCTACTTATTTTCAGGATAACCATTCGATGGGATCACCCATCGGTGGGGACATTTTGTACACATTTGTGTTCTTGTCTGATTTTTGTTCAACAAGGGGTCTAAAACATCTTCAAAAATAGAAAGGGATTGAAAGTCTAGTTTTGAAGATATCAATTTGCGATGAACAAAATTATGCTGAAAACAATGGATAGCACGAGTTTTCCCAATGGGAAAATAACATGGGATATGTGGTTTTTAACGCATTTCAATACCCATCCCCTTTTCATAAATTGTTAATATAATATAGAAGAGACTTTTGATATGTTTAAAAGAAAAACAAGATCCTCTTTTTAGAAAATAAGCCTAACATTTTTTAAGAAGTGCCAAGGTGGGGGCCTAATCCATACTTTTTCAGAGAGTTGGATTGATATTTTACTATCATGGGGACTTCACTTGAAAGAAAACATATTGTTTTAATAAAAACCACTGTGTTTATGGCCAGAAAGTGCTCATGGTGAAAGATATGACTGTCTAAAATCACTTGCCATACTGCACATGGACCTTTATATCATGATGTTTTAGCACAATAAAACCACTGCTCAAGAAAGTCTTTTCAAGATGACTCCTGAATTCAAAATGGCAACCAGTTTTCACAAATAATGTAATTCATTATGGAAGAGGACGGAGGGGGGAGGTAATAGGAGGGGGAGGTTAGGTGGAACAAAATTACACAAATTCTTGTACTTGAAAAACAAACTCAGTAACCCAGGAAGAAACTGGATGTTACTGGATGTAACTGGATCTCTGAAGGCTGAAAAATGGGGAAATTTGGAGTTATAGGACATTAAGTCAAGAAACATCTCTTATCATGTGTTATAGACCTATTACTCCCAGGGACCCCCCCCCCCCCTTTGGGTGGGGCCTTATTTTTCAATTTTTGGCCAAATTTTGAAAAAACACTTTTTGGTTTTTGGGCCCAAAATATTTTCCTTGCAAGCGCGGAGTTTTTTTATCAGACCTGACCTTGTTGATTTCCATATCTGCCCCTGCTGTCCCCTCCCCTCTGTCCCATTTTAATTATTTTTATATGACGTATGGAGACTTATTTTATAAAGCCAGCAATGTCATTCGTTTTGTAATGATAACCTTACTAGACTTACATGTATTTATTACATGTCATGCAGACCTTTGTTACTTGATTTATAGCAAAAACACTGACTTGTGCACGTTGGTGGCCTTGCGCCTTTTTTTAATAGATCTCATATCTTAGAAGCGTATCGGTTCAAAAAATTATAGAAGACCAAACATATTTTACCATACTGTGCACCTATCCATTAGGCAATTCAATTGTAAACTTTCTCTTCAAAAAATAAATTATTCAGATTTATTGAATTTTCTAGCAGAAATTGCCTGCTTCCCCCCCTCCTCCGTCCCATTTTTCCAATCACTGGGCATGTTGATGTTAGAAAATTGGAAAGGAAATGAAATTTCCCATGTTATTTTCCCATTCACTACTAATCAGGATATGGTGTGAATTGGACATTTTTGGTGTTGCTTGGTATAAAAAATAATTTCTTTACTAATTAACACCAAGTCACACCACAAACCTGGTGTGACTTGGAGTGAAAGGATTAAGAGATTAAACCCCTGCTGTCTAACACAGAGTCATACCATACCACTGTTGTTACTGTGGTTGTGAGATGGTATGAACATTTCATTTGATCCTTTTGATCTTTACAAGCCTGAATTAGATATACTTTCATTATAATCTATAACTAAGTGGCATAGCTCCTCACTGAGCCCTCTTTAATAGGCTAATGTCTTATAAGACATCTGTAAAAGAAGGGGTTTTCAATATTTTATAACTCAAATACCAGTTGACGGATTTAGTTCAATTTTTTATGCTGATGCCTTAGAATGATAAAACCTATGGTCAAGTAAATTGTTGCAATAATACTAGATAACTTTATTTGCAGTTACATATATCTGATTTGGTTCAAAAATTGGCTTATGTCTCTTCGTGGAAATGGGACCTCTATTCAAAAAAATATTTCAGTATGACTGGTTAAACAAGTTCCTCTTTTCAGAAAATAATTCCAACATTCTGAAAAATATGTTATATTACATGGGAACCTCATATATCTTTTTACTTATTATTTTGATGAGAAAATATTCATGTTCAAATATATGACTGTCTAAAATCATTCTCCATACAAAACCTGATCCTTTGTCAGCTGAAGTAAACAAATCACTGAGATATTAACAGAATAAAGTATAGAAAGTAAGCATACTAAGCATGCCCCGAAAACTGAAAGCCATTTTTGGCCTTGGGGCTGGACGGCAGAACCGTGGAAAAATTCCTGATGACAATGATATGAATGAAGGAGCACCTTTTGATCCAAATAAGGACTATGCAGTAGAATATTTCAACTCCAAGGCTCCAACTAGTGGTAAACATAATTGGACTAGAGGTGGACATGAAACAAAAGTTATTGAAACAGTCAGTAAATTTGAACTTGATTTGGAAGATGGAAAAGTTGCCAATTTTGTCGAGGGTGATAAGAGAAATGTAGCAGATGACATTGTTAGCACTGGATCAAGTCGTGTGAGCCCCAGGTCAAGAGGAACATTTGATGACACAATCAGTGGAGAAACAGATCAACAGCAACATGCTGTTATTGAAGTACATAATGATGATGTATTGCCAAAACTAGTATCTAAACCGGGATCCTCGCAGAGTATTGATGCAATGAAGCCACCTTCTAACAGTACACCAGTTGATGATTATGAAAGCATTGCTCAAAGCACTTCACCATACATCAGTGTCATAGATGATGTCAAAGGATCTGTATCAGAAATGATTCCAAAGCATATTAATATTGATGATAAGGTACACAACATGTCATTTCATGAGAAACAGACCACAACACCTGATTTACAGCATGGGGAAATCAACTTGAATAAAGTTGAGAATGTAAAACATGGTGATTCCAGCAAAGGTGCATATCATATTACTTCCATAGATTTAAGAGGCAACACATCCAAGATCTTAAAAAGTGGAGCTATTCATTCCGCATCATCAAACAGTGTGATAGCATCTACTTCAAATTATCAGGGGCAACAGTCAATTCCAGACCAACCTCCAAAAGGCCCCAAAGAGGCATCAGAGAGAGAAATAAGTAATAGTTTACAGGGACCATCTGTGAAGGACAAAATGGACACAGTTGTGGATATGAGCTCAAAAAATAGCTTCGGGAATTCAAACCCAAATGATGAAGTAAATATTAAATCTGAGATGCAGCGTCTAATGCTTGAGATGTTGACCACAGAAAATACTGTGCCAGACAATGGAAGTGTTAATAAAAATATAAACAACTCAAACAATATCATGGATACTTTTGATGAGGACATCTCAGTCCCTAAAGCTTCAGCAATAACTGTAAATAGTTCATCTGTCAGTGACATTAGTGGTGACTGTGTGCCAAGAGAAAGAGATCTGGGAAGAAGACTAGAAGGTAAACATGAAAAGAAATATGGAGCCAAAGTAACAGCAATTTCATCATCTTCTTTGTATTCAAGTAAGGCTTACACATAGAACACAGAACCAATGTACATGTCTTTGTTTCAGTTTGTTTGAGTTCAAGCAAGGCTTACACTTAGCTTATTGAGACATTTACATGTTTTTGTTTCGTTTAAGTTACACTTAAATATAGAACACAGAACCAATTACATGTTTTCGTTTCAATTCAGTTGTGTTCAAGTGAGGCTTACACATAGAACACAACCAATTACATGTCTTTGTTTCAGTTTGTTTGAGTTCAAGTAAGGCTTACACATAGAACACAACCAATTACATGTCTTTGTTTTAGTTTGTTGGAGTTCAAGTAAGGCTTACACATAGAACACAACCAATTACATGTCTTTGTTTTAGTTTGTTGGAGTTCAAGTAAGGCTTACACATAGAACACAACCAATTACATGTCTTTGTTTTAGTTTGTTGGAGTTCAAGTAAGGCTTACACATAGAACACAACCAATTACATGTCTTTGTTTCAGTTTGTTGGAGTTCAAGTAAGGCTTACACATAGAACACAGAACCAATTACATGTCTTTGTTTTAGTTTCTTTGAGTTCAAACAAGGCTTACACTTAGCTTTTCGAATCATAGAAGGTCTTTGTTTCAGTTTCATTGTGTTCAAGTGAGGCTTACACATAGAACACAGAATCAATAGACTAGATGCGAGTAGAAATAATCTTGATTTACGTCATTAAATATACAAAATTCAGTCAATGTAATGTCATATTGGAAATCTACATGTAAATGTACATTTAGAAATATCGTTTCGAAAATTGTTTTTCAACTTTGAAAATTTAATTTTTTGAAAATGTGACTTCTAGTTTGGGAGATTCCCCATAGACCCCATGTTATAAAATCACAAAAAGTGAAATATCTTTTCTTGTATTGGGCAGATATTGTTTCTTTTACTGGACATATTTTAATTTGCCTAACTATTAAACATATAAGGGTGATATGAAAATTGAATCCTTAAAACTGATGAATATTCAAGTTAAAGGGAACCTTCTACCATACCCGCCATGCTATCTGACCCGAATGAGCCATCTGGTGGTGAAACTGGAAACTACCTTATCCTGTTCCCCGACTATGGTCCTGTGAACATCTCACTCTTTTGCCTGTGCGATTACAACATGGGAGAATTTTTTACGCTTCTTACACTTCAGATACCTACTTCAATAGATTCCTTGGTATTTTAGCATTCTTTTCGTGTAGTTGAATCCACAATTGTCTGGGTTTATCGGCAGAACGAAGACATTTTCGTTTTTGATCGCAATATTTGCGTGTAACATTTAACTTACGAGGGGTGATCAATAAGTAATGGACGCTTTTTTACACAGATGCTTTTTATAGACCAATCCCTTCGATTTTCTTACCAGTGATACATCATTCATTTATCTATCAACTCTGAAGATTTGAAGACAATATATATATTACATGTTGATATATCTTTATTTCCGTGAAGCAGGTACAGGTACCCCGGGACCGACATTTACGTCACATATTCTGAAGCTATTTTAGATTGTTTAACATGCAATGCAGTTGAATGCAGGCTGAACAAAACAAACCATTATGGTCATGAATTACCCCATTTTGTTATGCCATAGTAATAATATAATAATTTTGAATATTTTATCATCACTATGTGGTATTCATGCCAAATTCATTCCACGGGGCCCTCTTAATAGTTTCCATCAAGTGCTACATGTACACAATTCCTCATCCTCTTCACTCAAGATTGTGAGACAAGGCTGAATCCATACTCTGACAAAGTAGCAAGATGCAGTTGCACGGGTTGTTTTATTTCATCAATGACAATAAACCTGCGTCCTTTCTCTATAGAAATAAGTAGTATAGAAATAAACAAGTCACATGTGAGCAGATCAGGACAATATGGTGCATTGGCCAAGGGCTCAATTTTGAGGTCCAGGGATATTGTTTTCTGAACATTTTGAGATCTGTGGGCAGGTGCATTGTCCATAAGGAGTAGGGTGTTCCCTTCTCTCACCACCCCTTTCTTCCACTGAATGCTTTCTCGAATTGACCTGCAAACCCCTTCCATACAACACTCTGACATTACAATATTTTCTGTTTATGTGTTACCAGTCAGCAAAAAATTTTAAACAACACAACACTTGTTGCATATAAAATGTTCAAATCTAACTGAAATTTACCAAACTGGCTAAAATCTGAATATGTGACGTAAATGTCGGTCCCGGGGTACCTGTACCTCCTTCACGGAAATAAGGATATATCAACATGTATTGTATATCTTGTCTTCAAATCTTCAGAATTGATAGATAATTGAATGATGTATCACTGGTAGGAAAATCAAAGGGATTGGTCTATAACAAGTATCTGTGTAAAAAAGCGTCCATTACTTATTGATCGCCCCTCGTATTTCAACCGTCAAATTCCTCCATATTGGTACTTCCGGTCCACATCCGGGACAGTCATACGGGGGATTCCCCTTTTAAATCCAACCGCCATGTTGAAAAGTGATGGAATCTCTCTCGATGAAAAAGAAAAATGTTCCCATTCTGCCGATATACCCAGACAATCGGCGGTTCCAATATATTAGAAGTTACATTTTGAGTTCTATAATGCATTGAGGTAGGTATCTTAAGTGTAAGGGGCGTAGATAATTCTCCCAAGTTGTAATCGTACAGGCAAAAGAGTGCGCTCCATACAGGACTATAGTCCTGGTACGGGATAAGAAACTACCTACTCGCATCTGAGTCATTAAGTGTCTTTGTTATAGTTTCTTTGATTTCAAGCAAGGCTTACACATTACATAGGTCGTTTAATATTTACATGTATATATTTAGGATTTTATAAATTTAATTAAGGCTTACACATAATTAGGAATTCACTTTTAATGTTTTATCACAATAGGCATGTCAGCAACTTCAACCTTCTAGTTGCATGCCAATCAAGTATGACATGAATAAAATCAGGAAATATGTGACTTTTTGTCATGCATCTCCTTATTATTAAAGATAGTATTCTGCCCTGACCAACACTTCTACTGTTATGGCATTTATTTATCTAGCATCTATATAGCAACTCCTCTATTGATATCATGTTAAAATTATATGATATCAAATATGTAACATACGAGACAAATGATTGGAGAGTTGAAAAAATGTTCATGTGTTAACTAAAATGTTTTTATACATGTGACTGTGTACTTGCAGGTTCCCCACACAAAGTTGAAATCATTGATACAAAGAATGTTCAAGTGTCAGGGGCAGGGCTTCAGTCAGTTGCGTGTGGAAGGCCAGCCTTTTTTAAGATTGACACCCATGGGGCAGGGCCTGGTGACATCAAGGTTCTTATCGCATGTGAGTAGGTCACAAGATCAGGTTTACAGAGAGATCAAAATTTTATGATTTTTCATGAAGTTCAATGTCAAATGCAGATTTCTTTCTAATAAATGCATAATGAATCTTTCAAAGAACATTAATTAAAAATCAACAAACTTTTTGCAATATTTTTGATATGTCAGGTATATTTCTCAAACGAAACTCCATTTTATAAATGCTGTCTTGCATGAATCATATGTTGATCAGCTCTAAGCAGCATTTCTTCCTATGCAATGTAACATGGTCATGTTTATGAAATGAATGAACATAGTATGACCAATGCCACTTAGAAATAGCATAATACATTACTGCAGCATGGCATAACATCTTATAATCTAGAAAATTTAACACAAGTAATTTATAATTACAACGACTCAATTATTGTCTTTGCAAATTTTTAATGGACCTCAAAAAGTGTTGACTAATACTGTGATCTTAACATGTGGGTTTGGTAATAAAAAGCTAAAAAGTTAACCTGGTTAACACATAATTATATGCATGCAACATTCCAGATATAAAAAATAGGTTTGAAATAGACAAAAGCACTGGAATGGGTGTTTCAGGCCTTACAGTATTAAGCTATCTAAAGTTCTTATTTTACACAAGTAATAACTAAAACATTATTGTTATATGAACAAATAAGAAACAGCATTATTGCATTAACCCAATCATCCTTTCCTATATAAAATGTGGTGATGATGATATTAACCTAGAATCTCACATATGTATGTTATATTATAAATGACATGCAGTTGAATGCATATTCAGAATGTGTGTAATGTGAAAGTGTGTTATGTAATTGATGGTATATATATATGTTTTTAAGTGACATGGGAGAGAGATATTAGAATGTATGGTTGTCTATCAAGTGTTTGATTGGCATGGGAGAGAGATATTAGAATGTATGATTGTCTATCCAGTGTTTGATTGGCTAAACTTACTGCTCATTCTTTAAAACTTTGCTTGTTGTTGTGGCAACATGCACGCTACAATCATTTGCTAAGGTAACTGGTTATTTGGTTGTTAGGTGTTATTGACCTATTTTATGGCCTCTATGGTCAATTAAATAATTTTTCTTTTCAGGACTAACAATTTATTTTAGGAATTTAACAATTTTCAGAGAACTAACTTTTAATTTTTTCAGTTTATTAATCATAAATTTATTTTCTTACAAAGCAATTCCAAATTATTTATTTTGTCCTAGAATTATGACAGAAATATCTAAAAAAAAATTTGGAATTGTTTGGTGAAATTAGAATTACTTGCCCTGGGATAGTTTGGTTGTTGAGGCTGTTTCTACCATTGGGGATTGAAGGATGAATTAAGCTTTAGAAAGGTAAATATTATCTAGTATTGTAGATGTGCTATATTAAATCCTCATGTTTAGGATTTTTCTTAACTAAGTAGAAGTAGATTGATGACCATCTAAGTTTCTTTTTGGTACACACTCATTATACTTATTTTTACTCATTCATTTTTTGATTTAGTTGCTTTCCATGTTTTCTGCAAATAATCTTGCAATTTGTCATTCATGTAGTCATAAATCTTCTTAATTGAAGTCTAAAATTAACTACATGACTTTTACATATATTTCTCTGATGCTCTTTCTTGGAAATTAAAGTCATCCAAACCTGCCTTTTCTTAATTCCTCCATTTTCTGCATTGTCTCATAATTCTATACCTTTTGCCGTAATGCTTTACAGCTGAGTGAGTGTGAATGTGCAAGAGAAGTGTGCTTTGTATTTCTAGAATCATTTTTATTCATTTTCACTTCATTTATACCATTTCAGAATGTTTAAATCTGTGTCAGACTGTTCATATTTATATGTGTTTTACACAAGATTATTTAACGACATTATCATTGTTTTATTTATGTTTTTTTTGTAGTTGAAATATTAGTTCATAGTACATGCACTCTAACTTGTAGTGCAAGACAGAGTAGTGCTTATGGAATCATTAAAATGCTTCAAGCTCTTAGCACAATACTTTTCTGCAAATGGCTTATTAGAGCACTTAATTCAAAGAAATGTTAAACCCATTGTCTGATTTGCAGAATCATGACAAGACCATTCAAAACAATGAATTGTTTTCCCTTCAATCATTCAAATATTCATATGTCAATTAGATTTTATGCATACAGTTCACACGAGGGGTTGGGCAAACTAGTTCTCGATTAAGAAAAACAATAAATTGTCATATTTATACTTCTTTATATTTCTTTTGATATTGTTGTTTGATATTTTCATTTTGATTTCAATAAGAGTCAGATGTTGCAAGAACAGATCACACTGTCTCTCCATCTCTATGTCTTGTTATTTGCTTCTTTTGAATGTGTTGTCAAAATATTCAAGTTGAAATATAGTTTCCTATTTTTAAATGTTCAAAATTCAAATGATTATCCTTGGCAATTGTACTTGCAAGTCATATCATGTAAATTCATCGACACCTGTTAGGAAACTCTGTTCTGAGCTGTAACATTTTTGAAAAAAAGCAATATCCCAAGAAATAGACCCATTTTGGCTGTGAACTTGTCTGTCTTAATCGATAATTAATTGATGCATCATCAGAAACAAAGGTCATTGATTATCATCCATATGAGCTGAACGCATCAGTGAATGTAAAATTGTAATTTGTGTCAATGGGGTGTTATACTTGTGTTTCAGCTCCTACAGGTCACTCAGTGCCCTACACTCTTCACTCTGAAGGAGATGACAAGTATACCATTGAGTACATCCCCACAGAAGTTGGTATGTATAATTTCTCTCTGCCGGTTTAGACACAGACAGTGACATATAATTTCTTTATACAGTAAAACCTGTAAAGTGGAACGCATCTGTAAGTGGAACACTTCTGGAACACTTCTATCAGTAGAACACTTCAAAGTCCCCCGACCTACTGACTTATTGATAAATGAACCTCTACAAGTGGAACACCTCCCACTCTTTAGAGGTAACAAATGTGTTCCACTTATACAGGTTTTACTGTAATAAAAAAAAGATTATGTGTTTCCAAAGTTTACAATATAAATGTTTATATAATGTTGTCAGAGGAATTCTATAACATGTGAGGAAATGTCTTGTTGACTGGTTCAACACCCAGTTCACACCTAGCTACATAGGCAGTCTATATAGCTTCATGGCAGTGTAGCCATTCTATATTAAACACAAATTAATGAAAGATAATTCTTAAATGGGAAAACATTAACCACCTGTAAAACACTATAATAATATCATAGTTAATTAAGTAAGAATACATGCAACTTATATACAATGTAATATTGACAAAATTCATAGAACTTTTTCTTTTACTTTATTCAGTCTTGCATTTAGATGTTTTTAGTATTATACGCGATAAAAAGAGGGCAGTATTCTTAAAGTAAAGGGTGTGCCTTATACTGTTTGGAATGACTAATTCAATAGTTCTAAAATGTGTTCTTATTCTTATTAAGAATATTACACTAACTAATTAAGCATTGCAATTGATACATTGGGCTGACTCTTTCTTTGAAATTATTTTATGTTTTGAGGTATCCAAGATTGCATTATTCCATGGGTTTTCCTATAAGATAAATGTCACAGTGGTCAGATCTTAAATAAAGAAATAGCAGAAGAGAGTTGAATTAGCAAATAAGCAGAAGAGTTGAATCATTATTTCATATCACACAAAGATAATAGGCAGTTAGATATTTCACAAAGTTTTTAGACAGAAAGCATAGAATCATTGTTACTGAACCCATTAGCTTTATGTCAGGCTTGAGGATTTTTCAATGTGACCTAGATAATCCCATGTCAAACAATATGTAAATGTTGATCCAAATCATTAATGTTCAGCTCCAAGAGCCCCTTTCAGGCTTAACATGGGAATTTTGTGTACCTCTTTGTAATATGGTAAACACAGTGCAAATATATGTCATATTCCACATTGAATATGGCATATTCACTAGCAGTATATGACTGATTCACCTGCAGTATATAGCATACTCACTATAAGCGATACAGAAGAACAATTGAATGAATGGGCAAAATTTACTGAATTGATAATACCGTGCTTTGAATATATCAACTAATGTCATTGAATTACACCAGGAGATAACTGCATTGTTTTTTACTTTTTAACTAGATCGACCGCATAACCTGAATACATGGCATACTACATATAATACACTTATCATTTTCAGAAAGATCAGTACCATAATACATCAATAATTTTATATGATTTTCTCAATATCATCTTAAAAAGAAATGGTGGGAGTGTAAAAAGGGATAATTTCTCAGTCAGCTGTTTTTAATGAAATAAACTTTGAATTAAATAATTGGTAAATTTGCATCTTCATTTACATTTATTTTATTATGTCACCACCAAAAGTGGTGACATATTGTTATGGTCTCCGTTTTTTTGCGACGGCGTCCGGCGGTTGGAGGTTGGCGTCCGGCGTCCGGCGGTTGGCGTCTGTAACAATTTCTTACAACTTCCTATAACTTAACAAATACTGTTTAGACTGACTTCAATTTTTTTCTAAATCATCTACTTGTTCTCAGAAGTTCAAATCTGACTTTAGATTTGACATTTGACCTTCAATGACCTTCTCAAGGTCAAAAAGGTCTTTTTTCAACTTGCTTCACATTGACTAAATTTTTTTTCAAAATCATCTACATGTTCTCAGAAATTCAAATCTGACTTTAGATTTGACATTTGACCTTCAAATCTGACCTTAAATTTGACATTTGACCTTCAATGACCTTCTCAAGGTCAAAAAAGGTCAAAAAGGTCTGTTTTCAACTTGCTTCAAATTGACTAAATTTTTTTTTCAAAATCATCTACGTGTTCTCAGAAATTCAAATCGGACTTAAGATTTGACTTAAGATTTGACATTTGACCTTCAATGACCTTCTCAAGGTCAAAAAAGGTCTGTTTTCAACTTGCTTCAAATTGACTAAAAAAAATTTCAAAATCATCTACGTGTTCTCAGAAATTCAAATCTGACTTTAGATTTGACTTAAGATTTGACATTTGACCTTCAATGACCTTCTCAAAGTCAAAAAAGGTCAAAAAGGTCTTTTTTCAACTTGCTTCAAATTGACTAAATTTTTTTTTCAAAATCATCTACATGTTCTCAGAAATTCAAATCTGACTTTAGATTTGACATTTGACCTTCAATGACCTTCTCAATGTCAAAAAAGGTCAAAAAGGTATTTTTTCATCTTGCTTCAAATTGACTAAATTTTTCTTTCAAAATCATCTACATGTTCTCAGAAATTCAAATCTGACTTAAGATTTGACATTTGACCTTCAGATCTGACTTTAGATTTGACATTTGACCTTTAATGACCTTCTCAAGGTCAAAAAAGGTCTGTTTTCAACTTGCTTCAAATTGACCAAATTTTTTTTTCAAAATCATCTACATCTTTTCAGAAGTTCAAATTTGACTTTACAAGTTCTCAGAAGTTCAAATCTGACTTTAGTTTTGACCTTTGACCTTCAATGACCTTCTCAAGGTCAAAAAGGTCTTTTTTCAACTTGCTTCAAATTGACTAATTTTTTTTCAAAATCATCTACATGTGTTCAGAAGTTCAAATCTGACTTAAGATTTGACATTTGACCTTCAATGACCTTTTCAAGGTCAAAAAGGTCTTTTTTCATCTTGCTTCAAATTTACTTAATTTTTTTTTCAAAATCATCTACATGTTCTCAGAAGTTCAAATCTGACTTTACATTTGACATTTGACCTTCAGTGACCTTCTCAATGTCAAAAAAAGTCAAAGAGGTATTTTTTCAACTTGCTTCAGATTGAACAATTTCTTTTTTCAAAATCATCTACAAGATCCCAGAAGCTCAAATCTTCAAAAACCTTCTTAAGGTCAAAAGGTATTTTCCAACTTGCTTTAAATTGACCAAATTGTTTTAGGTGGTGACATTTTGTCATGTTAATGCCTTGTATGAAACATTGAATCAAACAGTATTTAAAAGGATTGTGAATGAAAATGTCACAGATTTTGCAATTACAAAATAAAAAGGTTTCAATGTACAATATTAAAAATTCAAAGACAAGCCCTGCGAAAGCATTTTGAAATGTGATCATTATTTACAATGTATATACTATATACGAGTATGACTTAAGAATAACCAAACCAGTTTTCTTTCAATACAATGTTGACAATGCTTTGTTTGTTTTTTGTTAAAATGCTATTGAATGTTCATAAGACTTCAAGTGACCTTTAGAAAACCTCATTGAGCATGTTCATTCTTTGACTTGTTTACATTGACGAGATTCCTCATATGAAAGACAAGATATTGATCCTATTTGAAATTGCCACATCCATGAGCAAATGACAGGAATGGTGTGGACCTGCTTTTGCTATCATTAGTGCAAACTGCAGAATTTCTTTGTTGCTTGTTCTTCAAATGCTTTCTAAGTAAACAGTATGATATTGATATTTGATCATATATGTGCACTTCGTTGTAGAAATAAGGTTCAGTTCAGTTTACTCTACATGCATGACTTGTATATATCAAAGTAAAAAGGTTTTCGAACTGTTTTCTACATTATTGATTTTTGTTGGAATTCAATAAAGTGATTTCTTAAAGAACTATTTAAATGTATAGACTCTTGTATTAGTTCTTAGTAGGTTATTTTCTTTTTGCTTTTTAAATTCTCATTCAAATGAAATGAGAATATAGCTTGATATCATTCATATACTGACACGCCCAACCATGGTGTTAACATACAGCATCAAAAAATAAATTGAATTAAAGCAAAAACTATGATGTGAATATCCAAATATGTTTGCAAATATAATACCAATGAGGCTTAAAGTCTGGACAAAACTAAGTATGAGAAAAATTCCACCATTTTGTTCCAAAAGAAATTTTGAGCCAAGTTCAGGAATTTATTGTTTTGAATTTCATTATTAATGTTGCAGGTATTTTGAAGTCCATATGGTATGGCTGTCAATTAGACTGAAATCACTACACCATTTTAGCCCAGTACCCATGGTGTTATTTTATCACTTTTATGACTTTATTGTCATCTTGCGCTGATGTGCATGCATGCATCTATGCACCTTAAATCTTGCCATTAAAATTCCAAGAATGTTAAATTTTTACAAATGCAACAAATTTGTGCCAAGGTCTGATTAGGTTTTGGGCATGCTGGGTAAATTACATGGCCATATTTATCAATGTGTATTTTATTCATTATTTTTGTCTTAGTTTCTTTAGAGAATTATTTAAAAGTTGAATCTTTCAAATAAATGGGAATTTGGAAAGTAATCTTTATTTCAACTTTTCATTGCCAAGCAGAGAATTTGTTTGAAATTGATGTTTAATATGTCATGTATATTTTAGCTGAAATGATTTGGAGTAAATGGATAAAACATTTCTATATTTTCCAAAGTAACAATGATTAGCTGTATTACACAAAATGGATGTTATTACTTTGTAATTCCATTCATTTTTAAGGTTATTTCAACTCTTGGGCTGCATGTGTGAAAACTGGTTAGGGTGAATTGTTCCAATATAGATATGTGACCATGTTACTTACCTCAGAAAGTCTATTTAATGTTAGTGAATGCAGGTACATTTTGGGTGGATGGTAAACAATGCTCTATACAGCATGTGTACCTAACCAGTAACTAAACTGAATCCTGACAATGTTTTCAAATTTTACATTCATTTAATGAACTTGCATTTGTAAAGAATAAAGTCAGCAGTATTACTGTTGTAAATGTTAAAGTGAATTGAATTACAT